TCAGCTCCTTTAGCTCCATTAGCTCCTTCAGCTCCTTCAGCTCCTTCAGCTCCTTTAGCTCCTTCAGCTCCTTTAGCTCCTTCAGCTCCATTAGCTCCTTCAGCTCCTTCAGCTCCTTTAGCTCCTTCAGCTCCTTTAGCTCCTTTAGCTCCTTCAGCTCCTTTAGCTCCTTCAGCTCCATTAGCTCCTTCAGCTCCTTCAGCTCCATTAGCTCCTTCAGCTCCATTAGCTCCTTTAGCTCCTTCAGCTCCATTAGCTCCTTCAGCTCCTTCAGCTCCTTTAGCTCCTTCAGCTCCTTTAGCTCCTTCAGCTCCTTCAGCTCCATTAGCTCCTTCAGCTCCTTCAGCACCTTTAGCTCCTTCAGCTCCATTAGCTCCTTCAGCTCCTTCAGCTCCATTAGCTCCTTCAGTCCTTTAGCTCCTTCAGCTCCTTTAGCTCCTTTAGCTCCTTCAGCTCCTTTAGCTCCTTCAGCTCCATTAGCTCCTTCAGCTCCTTCAGCTCCATTAGCTCCTTCAGCTCCATTAGCTCCTTTAGCTCCTTCAGCTCCATTAGCTCCTTCAGCTCCTTCAGCTCCTTTAGCTCCTTCAGCTCCTTTAGCTCCTTCAGCTCCTTCAGCTCCATTAGCTCCTTCAGCTCCTTCAGCACCTTTAGCTCCTTCAGCTCCATTAGCTCCTTCAGCTCCTTCAGCTCCATTAGCTCCTTCAGCTCCTTCAGCTCCTTTAGCTCCTTCAGCTCCTTTAGCTCCTTTAGCTCCTTCAGCTCCTTTAGCTCCTTTAGCTCCATTAGCTCCTTCAGCTCCTTTAGCTCCTTCAGCTCCATTAGCTCCTTCAGCTCCTTTAGCTCCTTCAGCTCCTTTAGCTCCTTTAGCTCCTTCAGCTCCTCTAGCACCTTTAGCTCGTTCAGCTCCATTAGCTCCTTCAGCTCCTTCAGCTCCTTTAGCTCCTTTAGCTCCATTAGCTCCTTCAGCTCCTTTAGCTCCTTCAGCTCCATTAGCTCCTTCAGCTTCTTTAGCTCCTTCAGCTCCTTTAGCTCCTTCAGCTCCTTTAGCTCCTTCAGCTCCTTTAGCTACTTCAGCTCCTTTAGCTCCTTCAGCTCCTTTAGCTCCTTTAGCTCCTTCAGCTCCTTTAGCTCCTTCAGCTCCTTTAGCTCCTTCAGCTCCTTTAGCTCCATTAGCTCCTTCAGCTACTTTAGCTCCTTCAGCTCCTTCAGCTCCTTTAGCTCCTTCAGCTACTTTAGCTCCTTCAGCTTCTTTAGCTCCATTAGCTCCTTCAGCTACTTTAGCTCCTTCAGCTCCTTCAGCTCCTTTAGCTCCTTCAGCTACTTTAGCTCCTTCAGCTCCATTAGCTCCTTCAGCTCCTTCAGCTACTTTAGCTCCTTCAGCTACTTTAGCTCCTTCAGCTCCTTTAGCTCCTTCAGCTACTTTAGCTCCTTTAGCTCCTTCAGCTCCATTAGCTCCTTCAGCTCCTTCAGCTACTTTAGCTCCTTCAGCTACTTTAGCTCCTTCAGCTACTTTAGCTCCTTCAGCTCCTTCAGCTCCTTTAGCTCCTTCAGCTACTTTAGCTCCTTCAGCTACTTTAGCTCCTTCAGCTCCATTAGCTCCTTCAGCTCCTTCAGCTACTTTAGCTCCTTCAGTCCTTTAGCTCCTTCAGCTACTTTAGCTCCTTCAGCTCCTTTAGCTCCTTCAGCTACTTTAGCTCCTTTAGCTCCTTCAGCTCCATTAGCTCCTTCAGCTCCTTCAGCTACTTTAGCTCCTTCAGCTCCTTTAGCTCCATTAGCTCCTTCAGCTCCTTCAGCTCCTTCAGCTCCTTTAGCTCCTTTAGCTCCTTCAGCTCCTTCAGCTCCTTCAGCTCCTTTAGCTCCTTTAGCTCCTTCAGCTCCTTTAGCTACTTCAGCTCCTTTAGCTCCTTCAGCTCCTTTAGCTCCTTTAGCTCCTTCAGCTCCTTTAGCTCCTTCAGCTCCTTTAGCTCCTTCAGCTCCTTTAGCTCCTTCAGCTCCTTTAGCTCCATTAGCTCCTTCAGCTCCTTCAGCTACTTTAGCTCCTTCAGCTCCTTCTGCTCCTTTAGCTCCTTCAGCTCCTTTAGCTCCTTCAGCTCCTTTAGCTCCTTCAGCTCCTTCAGCTCCTTTAGCTCCTTCAGCTCCTTTAGCTCCATTAGCTCCTTCAGCTCCTTCAGCTACTTTAGCTCCTTCAGCTCCTTCTGCTCCTTTAGCTCCTTCAGCTCCTTTAGCTCATTAGCTCCTTCAGCTCCTTCAGCTACTTTAGCTCCTTCAGCTCCTTCTGCTCCTTTAGCTCCTTCAGCTCCTTTAGCTCCTTCAGCTCCTTTAGCTCCTTCAGCTCCTTCAGCTCCTTTAGCTCCTTCAGCTCCTTTAGCTACTTCAGCTCCTTTAGCTCCTTCAGCTCCTTTAGCTCCTTTAGCTCCTTCAGCTCCTTTAGCTCCTTCAGCTCCTTTAGCTCCTTCAGCTCCTTTAGCTCCATTAGCTCCTTCAGCTACTTTAGCTCCTT